ACTATGGCTATGGCAATATATACTCAAGCTGAACATCCACATCGCCAGAACCTAGTAATTCCCACTTCTAATTGAAGCATATATATACCCTATAGAAATGTGTATATAAATGCAACCAAAAGACATGTCCCAAAATGTTCAGAACTACACAACAGCCCTAATGTGAAAAACCACACCAACGTTTATCAATAGTAGCATGAAGAAATTAGTTTATTTGTACAATGGAATACTATATAGCAAAGAAAATAAATGGACCGGTATCTCAAGCTACAATGTGGATGACTCACACAAGATGTTGAGCTAAAGAAGCCAGAGTACATACTGTAGACAGGACTCCATTTATATAATTGACAGTGATACAAGTCAAGACAGTAGTTACTTTCGGGGGGTAGTGACTGGGAAAGCATATGAGGGAGGCTTCTGGGGCACTTATAATGTTTTATATCTTGGTCTGAGGGGAGTGACATGATTGTACTCACTTTTTGAAAACTCACTGATTTGTACACTTATAAATAAGGGTCTATAAATATGTTTTACTTCAATATAAAGTTTAGTTAAAAAAAGTGACAGTCTATATAGGTTTCTCTTAAACATGTGATCCATAGATCTGCAGCACAGAGTAGGATGCTTGTTAGAAAGTACACTCCAACTTACTGAATCAAATACTCTGGAAGATGTAAGAGTCTGTATTTTAAACAAACTCGCTGGATAATCTTTATGTAGGCTAAAGCTTGAAAGCTATGGTTGTAGGAAAATACTTAATGTCATGGAGAATAGGAGTTAATAGTGAACTCTGAAGCCAAAATGCCTGGAATCAAATCTAGCCTCTGTCACTTAATAGAGGTGTGACCCTGGGGAAGGCATTCTAGCTCTCTGGGCCTCAGTGTTTTCAAGTGATAAAATGAAAATAATAATAGTACTTACCTCACATGTTCTTTCAAAGATTGAGTTAATAGATATGTAAAGTACTTGGAATAACACCTGGCACACAGTACACACTAAGTTAAAAAACCCAATAAAGCAAAGAAAGGAAAAGATACAGAGTGTAATTCTATTTCTAGAAGGTTATCTATATAAATACAGATGAATTTATATAAAGCATATATACAAATCATTACAAAGATATAGATCAAAGTGTTCAGAGTATTATTTATAGATTATGTGATTATTATCTTTATGTTATTTTTCCTCCTATTTTCTAAAATGAAAAATTTGTTATAAGGAAATCAGTATTTTTTGAAAGTCAGTAAGTTACGGCTTATTTGATTTGTTATACCCATATTTCTCAAGTTAAGGTCCTCTTAACATTGTATAGCTAGATGATACCTTGGTAGTAGGAAAAAAACAAAAGCCCTAGAGCAACTTTCCCAAGATACTGTATATTTATTAGTATAAAAGAAAGTGAGGCATTCTACAAAATGACCAACTGCAAAAAGTGAGCAGGACTGCATGAGGGCAGGTATACTTCTGGCTACTTTTCTTGTTTTTAGCTGCCAGGAAGGAGATCCCTTTCAATGGAGGCTCTCCTTGAATTTTCCACCTTGGATAAATCAATCAGTCTACAGGTTCTAGAAATTCACTTTCAGGTACATAAAGTCAAGAGAACTACTGAGAGTGAGGCAGCCAACCCATGGGAGTATTCCCGAGAAAAAACACAGAATTCAATTAGCGTTTACTTATTCAACTGTTCTACCTTCTTTTCCTGACCTTTTCTTCTCCTGTTCTTATCTCTCTTTTTTGGTTTTCTTCCTTTTGATCCTACCTAGACTTTAAGCTTGCATGTATGTGGCTCTTACAAGTACTTTAGTCCTGTTAGTGGTTCTGCTCTTGACTTCTGTCCCAGTGTTAAGGACTGCCAATTAGGAACGTCAGTTTTACATTCTTATGTTAACTTCCATTTTTAGACAAAAATCTCGAGTTATGCTAATTCCTAAAGTCAGTCCACTTCACCAAACCTTAGTAATGTACAAATATTTATGAGTGGTTACTGGTAAAATACTCCTACTATGCATTACAAAAGTTGAAGATGCAGTCTACAAATTTAAAAACTTCAAGAATGGACTTCAAATGAATAAGCAGACAATAAATATGTTAGCAAGAGTGGTGAAGGTTCTTCAACAGTATAAAAAGTGAGCAATGATGGTAAGTAGTATCTCATAAACAAACCTGTAGGTGATATGGAGAATCAAAGATAGAAGGTATGACTCCAGGCTTCAGTTTAATGTTTGGAGCACTTCTGTCAAAATCTGTCTTCTTAAAGTGCCTCGAACACAACACATCTCCTTTTTTAGGCTCCCAAATGCCGGCTGCATTCACATCAAGTCTTTTCATTGCTAATACCCATTTCCTTTTGATGTTTTCATCTGTGGGGAATCTAGAAAAAAATACAAAAAATATTTTAAAATCAAATGCCATTAATATATAATTGAATTAAAGCTGTCATACAATTGTAACTAAATTGATTTGTTAACTTTTTTTTTTTTGAGACAGAGTCTCACTCTGTCACCCAGGCTGGAGTGCAGTGGCTTGACCTTGGCTCACTGCAACCTCTACCTCCCAGGTTCAAGCAAGTCTTCTGGCTCAGCCTCCCAAGTAGCTGGGATTACAGGCACAGGCCACCACACCCAGCTAGTTTTTGTATTTTTAGTAGGGGTGGGGTTTTACTGTGTTGGCCAGGCTGGTCTCGAACTTCTGACCTCAAGTGATCCACCTGCTTCGGCCTCCCAAAGTGCTGGGATTACAGGTGTGAGCCACTGTTATTAGTCTTGAGAATTACAATATTTAGGAAACCATAATTCATGCTTTTGTAACTTTCAGTTTTAATATTCAGATTTTTGTGCCAATCATGCTGCAGATACATGGCCCTCGTTTCAATTTTTCTCATATTATAAGAAAGAAAAGTTTCAGTGGATATTAGCATCTTATAGTAAGATCCACAATTGAAGATATTTATTCATCTATAGATGATAAAAGAATTATCACTTAGGCCTTTTCCTATCTGAAATGATACCCAGAATTCAATAAAAAGGGCCCATTGTAATTCCGTTCCTCTTCAGCACCAGAAAATTGCTTGGTACAGCATACACAGCAGGTCTACAGATGCCCAATGAAAGAATGAAGAGAATAGCTGCAGAGTATGGAGTTCTGGAGATCAGAGCTATTTTGAGAGATTTGAAGGCCAATAGCCATATCTTACTCAATTTTCAAGCTGATTCAAATTTTTCTGAAATAAGGTAGGTAATATATGCTCATTTTTGATTTCCTTATATCTAACAAAGTAGCTCAGAGATCTTTCTCTAACACATAGCACAGTGCCTGGCACAAAAGCAGCAAAATAAACCTTTAGCAAGTGAATGATTACTAGATCTTACTCTCTCACTCACTCTTTCATGGCTTTCAGGAGAATGGCTAAAATATGAAACTAAAATCACCTTGATTTATTTGCAACACATATAAAGATCTCTTGGTCTGAACTTGTAATTTATGTTTTTTCCTACAACCTATGCTTGATCTATTTTTAATTAGAAAGAGCAATATATCTTAGCAAAGCTCCTTCATTCACACTGTAAACTACATGAAAACAACATTGAATTTCTTTGGCAGTATGACAAAATGCAAAGTAATAATGTTAGCAAAAGTGAGCCTTATGGTATTTTTTTGTAAACCAGTCTCTGATACCTTGGCAGGTATCTTAAAACGTTTAAACTAAATTATAAACATGTAGAGGCATCACGATGTCACTTCAAATTTAACAAAAAGGGTATTTAAAAAGGATTTGGGAACTAAAGTTCAAAACTGAAGACTTAAGTAGAACTGTCTTTTGCTTTTTATAACATGGCCAAAGTATTTGGCTTAACTACAGCAAAATCTTACACGTGAAATGTCAGTCCTTTTAACTTCGAATTTGGCAAACACCGAGAAGCACATCCAATGGCGGAGCAGCATTTCACCATTTTAGCAACTCATAACAGAACTGAAAGAAAATTAGAATGTTAAGAGTCAGTAACTGGAAAGCTGAAGGGGACATTTTTCTCTTCCCAGCGTTTTAGGAAACATGAAATCAGGTTAGAAAGCCAAAGACAAATAGCTTCTTCTAACACCTGCAGCTTTGCTTAGAACATTTTCCAGCGTCTTGGCTCTTTAACAAGGTGAAACATATTTAGCTATGTACCCTGAGGCATCTGATTTCCATTTTGTCGGCCTGTACACCTCTCTTCTACCTTCTAATGGGTACCATGTTCTCTGTGCCACAAAGCCTTTTGCACACTAACTCCTACTCATCTTTCAGCCCTCAGCTTGCATCGCTTCCCCAAGGAAACCTTCCCTGACTCTTGAAACCCAGATTAAATCAGAGCTCCTCTAATACTAGCTCTCACAGGACACACACTTCTTCTTCCCAGCACTTTTCCAAATTGTAACTACATTTATTGCAGTGACTGCTCTTATTAATGTCTTCCTCCTCCAGCAGTCTTGTTAGTTTCATGAGGGCATGGTGGAGTGTGTCTATTTTTTCTCACTTTTTGTCCTCATGGTTTAGCTGGTGACTGGCAATAGTGAATGTTAGTACATACTTTGAATGAACAGCAAGTAAACGGGAAAGGGAGGAAGCAAGGGGCACTTCGAGGTGCTAGCGAGTGCCCTGGCGTCCAAGAGCTGCGCGCGGGACCCACAGAGCCCAGGGCCCGGGCCGAGCTCCGCCCCTTTCTGCAGGTCCCCGCCACCCGGGAGAGAGGGAGGGGCCGCCCTGTCACAGGTAACGATGCGCCCCGAGAGCGTCCATTCCTCAGGGGCCAACCAATGTCTCCGCGCCGCTGCAGCCCACCTCGCGCCGAACCACGCCCTGAGATTTCGGCGGGTAGCGATGGGGGGAAAAGAAGAGGCAACCTAAGAGTTATTACCGTTAGCAGCGAAGACTGCGACTAACGTCAACGACGGAGACTGCGTCTGCCCTCGCTTCCGCCTCGTAGTCCCGGGAACCGGAAATCCGTCTGCCCCGGGTCACGTGCTTAGGAGCCATATTAGCGCTGGTGACCGCTGCGGCTGGGAGGGGGTGTGCCAGAGCGGCGCAGCTTCACTGGGCGTGGTTTTCATCCTGTGGGAAGGCTCGGTGGAATGTGAGGGGAGATGGAGGAGATGGCGGCGACAGCGCGGGAAGATGGCGCGAGCGGTCAAGAGCGAGGGCAGCGGGGCTGCGAGCACTATGACAGAGGATGTCTCCTGAAGGTGACGCCTTCAATGGGCTCTTCCCCGACGAGCTTCCGCTGGGCTGGGCTGGGGCGGGCTGGGCAGGCGGTTAGGCTTGGATTTAAGTTTGAGGTTAAGCTCCTTTTCAGGATACCTTTTCCACTTGGAATTGGGTTCTTCTTGAGGAGAACGTTTTTGGCAAGGCGATAAGCCCCACCTTTCCTACCTGCTTCGTACCTTGAAAGCAAAACCCTCTTTCTTGGGAATTGATTAGGCTTGCACAGTGGTCTCTCTACATGTGGGTTTATTCGTCTTTTGCTGTTGAAGTAGACTGAGGCAGCCCCGGCCTCTACTGGGCTTTTCCTTTCAGGTGTGTGGTGAAATAATGGAAGTCAAGATAATGGAAATAAGCAGGTGGAGAACTAGAATACGATTTCAGCTCCTGTAGTAAAGTTTTATAGCCTGCCAGCTTCATTTTAGAGGCAATGCGTGTGTTTAGACCTACGTAGGAGAAAACATATGTCCGAAAAAAGAAGACAATCATGTAATTGCCATTAAGTAGGAAATTATGTATAGGAAACTGCCTAGTGAGTATGTATCGTTACTTTGAGAAAACTTAAGCTATATATTTTTTAAATTGGCATGTATCAATTGAAGTTTCCTGATTTTCCTTACAAGAAGCAGTACAAAAATTTTGCTTAGAATACTTGAGCTTTGGAATCTCAACCGCCCTATATCCAAATCTTTGCTCTTCTCTTTAATAACTGTGATTTTAGCTAGCTCCTCTTTACCCCATGTATAAAGTGGGGATGATAGTCCCTGTTTCATTAAAGCGTATGGGGAGTATATATACTAAATGGCATGTATAGTGTTTAACAGGGTGCATTCCCTGAAGTAAATGAATAGTAAATGTATACTACCATGACTGTTACCATCATCATCAATTTTTTGTCCTTTCACTCACAAGTCAGCCTTGCTGGTCACTGTCTCATTATTAGAAGCAAGTTCTAATCTCAGGCCTGTAAGTGGATCCTAAACTCTTTCTGTAAGTCGTGGTTTGGTGAACATTGGTCCACTGCACAGAAGAAGCTCCTTAAAAAAGTTGGTCATTCACCAAGTGTTTTGTAAGGAAATTGAATGCTATCGATATGATTGCATTTCTACTGAGATGTATTATTACTCTTTCAGACTTGAGGTCAAAAACTGATTTTAACATCTTACTCACCCCCATAAACTACACAACTAGATCTGTGTATCATAACACTAAGATACTTAGCCTTGGGTGTCAAACAGTTTTTGTCTTCCCTCTCTCCCTCTTAAATACCAGAGGCCAAGTGAAGCATTTCAAGGAGGAAGTGGTCAACTAGGTCAAATGCAGTTGTTTGAGTAAGATAACTGAGAATTGCCCTTTGGATTTGGCAAGGAAGAGAGCACTGTTGATCTTGACTACAGGAGTTCCAGTGGAGAGGTCAGGATTCGGGTGAATTTAAGAGAGAATGGGAGGAGTGGAATTGAAAATAGCACTTACAGATAATTCTTGGGGTTTTGCTATAAAGGGAAGCAAAAAATAAGGTATGGTTCCTGGCAGATGTGGCACCATGATATTTTTTACTCTTGAGAGAGAGGAAGTATTGCAGCATGTTTGTATATTCTAGGAAATGATCCAGTAGAGTGAGAGCATTTTATAATGCGAGAGAGAGAGGGAAAACTGTAGAGACATTGTCCTTGAGTAGCCAAAGGGGATGAAATCCAGTGCACAAGTGAAGGAGTTGGCCTTAGAAGCATAGACGTCAGTTCTTCATAAGGGAAGGCAGAGGATGAGGTATATTTGCAAGTAAGTTATTAGAGATGATAGGAGGATGTTCTCTTTTGATCACTATTTTTTTCAGGCCTGTTAGCAGGAAGTATAGTTACTGTTTTTATAGTTAACACTCATCAGCAGAGTGTTAAGGCGGGAGAAAGAGTTGTTAGGCTTTTAAAGCCAGAGAAGGTGTGAAATGATCATTTAAATCTTTGATCTTAGACTCTAGAAGAATGGGAGAATGAACCAGCAAGGATGGTGATGTTTTTTCTCTAACCATATTCAGCTGCTTCTGATACAGGTCTAATAGGATTTAACCTGGGTTGGGATTGTGATCTGTGAGTGTAGGGAAGAGAGAAGGGAAGTAGGGTGTATGCAAGGGAAGACTTGGAGTAAGTTAGAGAGGAGGTAGTGGTTAGAGAATTTGATGCTTGGAATTGAGATGCAGAGAGGGTGCAGTTGTTCTGTAGCAGTGATTTTTAGAGTGTGATGAATGGATCCCTGGGAATCTCTGAGGTCCTTTTGGGAGTCTGCAAGGCCAAAACTACTTTCTTTGAATACTAAGGTTTTGGTTTTTTTTTTTTTTTTCAGTCTGTTGACACTTGCACTGATAGTGGAAAAGCACTACTTAATACTGCTAATACCTTAGCTTGAATCAAGACAGTGGCACCGAGCTATACTACACCTATAGTTTTTTTAAAAAGCCTGTTTCACTTAAAAATGTTGATAAAGCAGTAAAATCATTAATTTTCATCAAATCCAACCATTGAGTGTGTGTCTTTTTAATATGCTGTTCGGTGACATGGGAAGTTTTCATCAAACACTTTGCAAACCTAAATTAAAGGGTTATCTTCAGGAAAAACTTTTGTGCAATTGGATTGTAAAGTGAACTAGTTGCTTTTTTTCATGGAACAGCATTTTTTACTTGAAAGAACTATAGTGATTCACATTTGAGTATTTGGCAGACATTTTCTCAAAAAGGAAAAAAGTGAGACTCACTACCAATGAAAATGACAGTATTTGATGCCAGTGATGAAATTCAAGCTTTCACACAAAAATTAGAATTTTGGAAAACTTTTATGAGCTTTTGTAAGGTTGGAAGCTTTTTAAAAGACTTTTTTTGGTGAGGTTTTCTTCAATACCTAAAGACTTTTAATGAATATGATTTTTTTTGATATTACATGTTAAATGTGTGAATATGCGGGAGATGTAAGTAATTCACTGAACTAGTGTTTTCCAAATGACCAATGCATGAGTAAAACATCCATTTGAAGTGCGAGATAGGTCAATGGATTTTAATGTAACAGAGTAAGAAAAGTTCACTTATATTATTTCAGATTTTGTGTTGCAACTACCCTTTAAGAGTTGTTGTTAGTGTAATATCAGAGAATAATATCCATAATTCTCTGAAAAGGCAATTAAAATACTCAAAATACTCCTTTCTTTTCCAGTGCACATATTTGTCTGAGGCCAGAGTTTCTTCTTGTACTTTAGCCACAACTGTTTGAATCCATAAGCAGATACAAGATTTCAGCTATTTGGGGGGAAAATACAGTTATTTTTCATTAAAATATGTTATTTATGTTAACAAGTAATGAGTTTGTTGCTTTTAAAAAGGAGTAATATTTTAAAAACGTATCCTTTTTAATTTATGGTATGGTATATATCAATAGATAAAATCCACATAAACCAAAGGTCTTTGGGATTCTCAGTAATTTTAAAAAGTGTGAAGGAATGCTGAGACCAAACCATTTGAGAATGACTGTTCTACCGTATAACTATGATAATATATGGGATGGAGGACAAGGTTATTGGAAGTGAGAAAGTGAAGGAACTGAGAGTTACAGAGAAAGGAAGAGCCACTTAAGTGTTAAAATCTTTAAGGGATGAACTACATTATGGTAAGTCATGGCATAGGAAGCCTTCAGAAATGAGTGATCTGCAAGCTCACAATGTACTGGAAACTATTGGGTTAGCTCACTGGCCTGGAAATCTCTTGATATACTTGTAATGGTAAAGTTGCTGTAATGAAAAAACCCAAACAATGATGTAGATTAAAGAATAAAGGTTTTATTTCTTCCCATTTAACAGTTCCAAGGTGAGTGATGCAGATTAGTGATGGGCCTTTGTTCCACATGGTCACTGTAGGGACAATATTTTTCTGTTGTCATTTTGTCATGTTTTAGGGCGTATGGCCATCTGTGTGGTATAGCTGAACAATTGTGCCCAGGAAGGAGAGGATGGATTTTGGTTGACAACTGACAGTCTTTGCCATGCTTGAAAACAAGGGCTATCTCTTACAATTGTTGCATTTTCTGCAATATTAGATATGAGGTTGATGATTATTAAAAACTAGTAAAATAAGAATATAATCTTTATTATGTAAATGAATTTATCTGGAAGTGTCTGAGAAGAGGTTTCCTGTCTGCTGTTTAGGCTCAGAATGAAATTAGGGTGTTGTATTAGTCTGTTTTCACACTGCTGATAAAGATATACCCAAGACTGGGAAGAAAAAGAGGTTTAATTGGACTTGGAGTTCCACGTGGCTGGGGAGGCCTTAATCATGGTGGGAGGTGAAAGGCACTTTGTACATGGTGGTGGCAATAGAAAATGAGGAAAAAGTAAAAGTGGAAACTCCTGATAAACCCGTCAGATTTTGTGAGATTTTATTCAGTATCACAGGAATAGCACGGGAAAGACTAGCTCCCGTAATTCAGTTACTTCCTTCTGGGTCCCTCCTACAACACCTGGGCATTCTTGGACATATAACTCAAGTTGAGATAAAAGTGGGGACACAGACAAACCATATCAAGTGTTGCTGGATTAGTGTTTCAATTTAAGGATTTCCTTCATAATTCTTTTGTTTTAAAGTTGGTTTAAACTTCATATAGACATAGTGATGTGAAGGGAAGAATTAACATAAAATATGTGAAGAAACTAGTGAAATGTTATGTTTATGATCAGTTTAGCATCTAATCTACTGGGTATAACCTTTGAGTTCCAGGAGGAGGAGGAAAAAATTTTCTTTTTGCATTGCCCACTTTGTTTCTCTTGCTTCTTACTATATCTCTTTTTCTCCCATGGGGGTTAGGCACCTTGCTGTGACAAGCTTTATACTTGCCGTTTGTGTCATGATAACAATGAAGATCATCAACTAGACCGCTTTAAAGTGAAGGAAGTGCAGTGCATAAACTGTGAAAAAATTCAACATGTAAGATTTTATGACATTTCTATTTTCTTTTTAAAAGCTATGTTAAGGTGGTTTGAAAAAATTTAATCAGAAGTATTACAAATAAGACTTCTTTAATTTCTAGAATAAGCAGTATCTTTGGTTTAGGTGTTTCAAAACTTGTAAAAATAAACTGCATATACTTTAACAAAAGTTCCTTAAATGGTAACTCAAAATGTTTTGGTTAGTTTATTGCAGTTTTTAATTATGTGTCTTTTTTAGGCCCAACAGACTTGTGAAGAATGTAGCACATTGTTTGGAGAATATTATTGTGATATATGCCATTTGTTTGACAAAGATAAGAAACAGTATCACTGTGAAAACTGTGGAATTTGTAGGTACTGTATGTAATATGTTCTTATCTAATTGATTCTAATGTATATGCAATAATAGTTTTTAAAATAAACTTTATTAAGATGTAATTTACATCTGATAAAATGCATTCATTTTAATTGTCCAATTCAGTGAGCTTTGATAAATACATGTATCTCTGTTACTATCAGCACAGTCAAGCTATAGAAAGTATACATTCTAAGAAGTTTCTTCATGCATCATTAATAATTTAATTTACCCATTAATTATTGTATAGTTATTTAGAATTTTACCTTTGGAATACAAAATATGTTTTATATAAAGTGTTTTATAGGCAACCGAGGTAGAGAATTGGGATAAATTTTTCCTTTTTAAAAATTAGTATTTAAAAAATTATCAAATATATAGTGATTTTATAAAAATTGGAAAAAACAGAAAAGTAGAAATAATAAAAATAACCTACAGCCTAATTTCAGACAAGCTGCTATTGATATGTCAGTGTATAAGGAATTATTTTTTTCTTTAAAAACTCAAGTATTTTAGATATATGTTAACATATGTATGTAAGGTGTGTATAAAGTATAATACAGTGAACAAGCCACCCAGTTTAGGAAATGAATGTTACCAATACTGTCAAAGTCCAAGGTGTTCCATGTTCAGTCCTTTCTTCTTGTCCCTGCTGGAGGTAATCACAGTCTTGAATATTTTTTTCTTTTTTTTGAGACAGAGGTTTTCTCTTGTTGCCCAGGCTGGAGTGCAATGGCACGATCTTGGCTTACTGCAACCTCTGCCTCCTGGGTTCAACCAATTCTCCTGCCTCAGCCTCCCAAGTAGCTGCAATTACAGGCATGTGCCACCATGCCCGGCTAATTTTGTATTTTTGGCAGAGATGGGGTTTCTCCGTGTTGGTTAGGCTGGTCTCAAAACTCGCGACCTCAGGTGATCTGTCCACTTTGGCCTCCCAGAGTGCTTGGATTACAGGCATGAACCACTACATTCAGCCTGTCTTGAATATTTTAAATCACTTTGTTTTTTTTTTTTTTTTTTTTTTTTTTTTTTAGTATAAGTTGTGTTTAAGGAAGGATAACTAACCACCAAAAGATACAGAAATTATAAGTGAATGACTTTATGAATTTTAACAAATGAACATACCTTAGTAACCACTACCCAGATTAAGAAACACAACGTTCATAGCACCTTCATAGCTTCCTGTGTGCCCCTCCAAATTAATACACTTCCCCAAAGATAACCAGTATGCTGACTTTTGGAAGTTTTTAATAAATGAAATCATATAGTATTTGCTCTTTTGTTTTATATGTTTTAAGGCCATGTCATTCAGTGTTCACATACTTAAAATTATTACATTTTCTTGTATGATTGATCCATTTATTATGACATAATGTGTCTTTTTATCTTTAGTAATGTTTCCTGCCTTAGGATCTACTGTATCTGTATTGGCTTTTTTAAATTTTAATTCTTTATTTTTACTTAACATTCTTGGAGTATATGTATTGGCTTTCTTTTGATGAGTTTTTGCATGATATCCTTTTCCATTTAGACATTTTTATATACTTACATTTAAAGCATGTGTCTTGTAAAACAGCATATAGTTGAGTTTTAATTTTTCAATCCAGTTTGATAAAACTGTCTTTTAATTGGAGTATTTAGTTCGTTTATTTTTAATGTAGTTAGGATATATTTGTATTTCAATCTACAATTTTGATATTTTCTATTGCCTTAGTATTTGTCTTTTTTTCCTCTCATTTCTTGCTGTCTTTGGATTAATCCATTGTTTTTCTATTCCGTTTTTATTCTCTAGAGGCTTATTAGTTGTACATTCTTCCATTATTCTCTTAGTGGTTATCCTAGGAATTATACATCCTTGGCTTACTAGAATAATATGTCCACTTCGTGGACAATGTTAGGGCCTTAAGCCCTAAAACTCTTTATATGCTATTGTTGTCATATGTTTACCATTTCTGTTGCCCTTCTTTCCTTTAAGTTTCTAGCATTATCTTTGGAGTTACTTTTCTCCTGCTTGAAGAATACTCTTTATTATTTCTTTTAGTGAGGTCCTGCTGATGATAAATTCTCTCTCTCTTTTTTTTTTTTTTTTTGGTCTCGGAAAATGTCTTTATTTGCCTTCATTTTTGAATATTTTTCTGGGTGTAGAATTCTAAGTTGACAGGTGTCAGTTCTCCTTCACCTCCTAACACTTTAAAGATATTCTGGTTCCATAGTTTCTGTTTAAAAATACCACCTCTCAGGATTATTGTTTCTTGGAAGGTAATTTGTTTTTTATCCTCTTCTCTCTGTAAGTCATTGATTTTTAGCAGTTTTTCCGTAATGTGTCCAGGTTTGTTGAGTATAATATTTATCTGGCTTGGGGTTTGTAGCATTTCTTCAATCTGTGGCTTGATGTCTTCTGTCAGTTTTGACATATTTTTGGCCAGTTTCTCTTCAGATAATGTTTCTGTAACATTTCCCACCTCTTTTGAGACTCCATTCCATAGATCTTTTTACTACATCTCATATCTTTTTTTTTTTTTTTAATATTTCTCCTACTTTAATTTTCTTTATGCTTAAATTGGATAGTTTCCATTGATTATCAGCCAGGTCTCTCTCCTGTTTTGTTGACTCTGCTGTTAAACCTACCAAGTTATTTATTTATTTAAGTTATAAAATTTATGTTTAATCTTCATTCTTGTTATTTTCCAGTTGTCAGGTGAAATTATCTTTTTTTCTTTGAATATATTGTTCACAGATAATTTAAAGGGCTGTGCCTGATAACTCTAATATCTTGATTACCTATGGGTAAGTTTTGTTTTTTGTTTTTTTCCCTCTTGGTGTTTGGTTCTGCCTTTTACATGCTTGATTTTTTTTTTTAGTTGATTGTTGGATATAATACATAAAAATTATTCTCTGGATGCTATTTTTTTCCAAAGAGAATTTATTTTTCTTTTGGTAGGTAGTTAATGTAGGGATAGATAGCATTGATATGATTAGAGGTGAATTTTTGTTTTTTTGTATGTCCTGTTCTATTTTGTCCCCCCTACTTTTATTCTTATGCTCCTAGGATATGGTCCTTTGGAGATCTTGACTTAAAAAGCTAGGATTGTTTACCAGGCCCATCTCTTTTGTGGTGGGACCTGGATTCCAAATTTTAGCCCCCAAGCATAGGAATACTTTCAGAGGATTTACTTAGTTCCTTAGACTCTTACCTGCTGCTCTCTGTTTAGTTTCTTAGCTTGTCACAGCGCAGTTTAGGGTCTAAAAATCTCTCAAGGAAGAAAGAAGCAGAGATATTGACTTTCCCTCAGTATATTTCCTTTCTTGCTGAGATCTTTGCCCTTCAAGCACTTAGTTGCTTTTTACTATGAAACAGCTTGTTTTCTTTAAATTCAGTTTTTCTAGTTTTCAGTGGGAGTTTTAGTCCCATACCAGCTACTTCATCATTGTGGAAGTAGAGGTACAATATATGCTTCATTTTGCTTGTTTTAAAAATCATATATATGGTCTTTTTTCTTTCTTTTAGTTTTTTTACTGAGCTGTGTTTCTAAGACTCATCCTATTTGATTCATGAACTCCAATTTATTTTCACTGTTATGGTGTTATTTTGTATATAATATCTGCATATAGCTTTTAATTATCACACACAACCAAGAAAATTACACACTATTTTATTAGTTGATTTATTGACATTCAAGTTATTGGGACTACAAAGTACACATCTCATGCTACATGGTAAATATTAAACTTCATGAGATCATGTTATTTTCATATTTTACGTTTCTATACCTGGGAGTGCCTTATATCGCGGTCCCCAATGCATGGGAGCATGGGTACTGGTCAGTGGCCTATTAGGAACTGAGTTACACAGCAGGAGGTGAGTGGTGGGTGATCGAGTATTACCGTCTGAGCTCTGCCACCTGTCAGATCAGCAGTGGCATTAGATTCTCATGGAAGCACGAACCCTATTGTGAACTGTGCACGCAAGGGATCTAGGTTGCATACTCCTTGTGAGAATTTAATGCCTGATGATCTGAGGTGGAACAGTTTCATCCTGAAACCATCCCCAAACTTCATTCCATGGAAAAATTGTTTTCCACGAAACCAGTCCCTATGCCAAAAAGGTTGGTGACCACCGCCTTATATATAGTAGGTGCACAGTAATGTGTATGCAGTATATTGTTGGCAGTGTTTCAGTATTATGATGACCCTGAATGTACTAGAAAAATTAGTCATCACCATTTACCATTTAAGTATAATGGATTATTTGACAGTGTTTTCAGTATTATGATAACCCTGAATATACTAGAAAAATTAGTCATCACCGTTTACCATTTAAGTATAGTGGATTTTTATTTAAAAAAATATTTTAAAGTCCTTTTATGAATAATGTGCTGAAGAAAGAATAAAGGGTAGCGAAAAACAACTTTTAGAAATTTTACTAGGAATTTGAACACTGCAAACCCAAATTTTAATTCCATATATTCCAAGTTGAAGACATGTGTGCTCAAATATGTCAGTGTTCTTTGTAACTGCAGTTGACCCTTGAACAATGTTGGGGTTAAGGGCACCAACTGCTTGCTTAGTTGAAAATCTCAGTATAACTTTCAACTCCCCAAATTTTAACTACTAATAGCCTGGTACTGACTGGAAGTCTTACCAATAACATAGTCATTAATACATATTTTGTAATGTTATATATATTATATACTATATTTTTATGATAAACTAGAGAAATATGTTAACTGTTCATTAAGTGGAAATAGATCATCATAAAGGTCTTCATCCTTGTCTTCATGTTGAGTAGGTTGAAAAAAGGGAGGAATAAGAGAGATTGGTTTTGCTATTTTGGGGTGGCAGAGGTAGAAGAAAATCTGCTTATAAATAGACCTGTGTACTTTAAATTCATGTTGTTCAAGGGTCAACTGTATTTACTTGTCAGTTTTCATGCTTGAATATGGCACATGTGCATACTGATTCTAGATTTTAGACACATTTCTAATAGGTTCTAGCTTGT